CCCAGCCGATGGTTTTATATTTAAAATAAGGTTATTTCCAACAGTAGTTGTACTCAGAGCAGACCCATGGAATCGATATAGACAGGCCCACATCCTGGACGGGTGGTATGACAGCCGGCAGCTGGGGCAATGCTTCATGTGCCCTCATGCTTGGTCTCAATAAGCAGAGAGTTCCACAGGTGCTGCCACGCGAAATGATCTTGCAAGGGCCTGTCCTGCACAGAGCCGTTTGCGCTTGCGCAGGAGGAAGCCTTTGCATCCCTCTCTCTAGCAGTTGCTGCTACTTTCAGCAAATGCACAATCAGGAACTCACTTTAAGCTCCGGATTGTTCCTCTGAAATAATTGGTACCTTTAACACACTTACTGTCAATTATATAGTCAGATGAGGGGTAGATGGGTGTGGATGGTCAGGAATGGTCTGGGAATTGGATTCTTTCCTAGATGAAATTTGGCCCACCAGCCAGAAGTCCCCTACCCCTGTGCTAGGTTGACATAACATGTAATCCACTTTAATTTCACAAATCTGAACTTTTTAGTACATGCTGGTACTTTTCCAACAAAAGAGTGAGACCAGAGGTAGCTATAGTAACAACTTTATACTAAACTCCTTAATATATAAGAGTACAATAGAATAAAGAACTAAGATGCAATCTTTGGGAGAAATCTTTACATCTTTCTCCTTATTAGTTGCTCCCTGCTGTTCAGCTCAGGCTTCAGAACAATGATGTAGCATTTGGGGGCAAAGATGCAGCCCAACAATCCAGCACTGGAGGACAAGATGGAGAAGATCTCCACCACCACCATGGATTTCCCTTTGGTGCTCAGATAGGTTGGAACAAAAGATAGCCAAACACTGCAGAAGAGCAACATGCTGAAGGTAATGAACTTGGCTTCATTGAAACTGTCTGGTAATTTGCGAGCTGCAAATGCCACAATGAAGCTGGCAACGGCCAGGAGGCCCATGTAGCCCAGGACACAGTAAAACATGGTCACTGAGCCTTCATTGCACTGCACAATGATTTCTTCTGCTACTGAGTGCATGTCTAGATCAGGGAATGGGGGAGAGGTCATCAACCACCCAGTACAAATACTCACTTGAATGAGTGAGCCGGAAAGGACAATGCAGTGGCTCAGTCTTTTTCCCCACCCACTTCCTCATAGTGGACCCAGGCTTGGTGGCCATGAAAGCTGCAACTACAGTGATGGTTTTGGCCAACACACAAGAAACAGCCACGGAGAAGATGATGCCAAAAGTGGGTTGTCGAAGAAGGCAGGTCATTTGGCCAGGGTGTCCAATGAATAGAAAGGATGAGAGGAAGCAGAGTAGGAGGGCAATGAGGAGAGCATAGGTGAGATCCCTGTTGTTGGCTTTGACAATGGGAGTGTCTTTGTGTTTAATAAAAGTTCCCAGCACCAAAGTTGTAATTAGGGAACAAAGAACAGCAACTGATGTTAAGCCAATCCCTAAAGGTTCCTTATAGGAAAGAAAGGTTATTAACTTGGGAATGCATCCATTTTTGTTCTTGTTTGCATACTGATCTTCTGGGCATCTGAAGCAGTTGTCCAAATCTGAAAAAATAGCATAAGGCCAAACTCCAATTGCAATTCATGAGTGTCTTTTGCCTCCTACATCTAAGTTATCATTCCTCTTGTCAGAATCCGGGTAATTCTCTCCCTCCTCCGGTGGATGCAAGGAGCAGAGAAAAACAAGAAAGAGTTCTTACTAATGAGTTTATTAAATCATCACAGCATGAGACAACGGAATCAGTCTGCCTCCCCATTAATGGTGTTGCTCCAAATGAGCTCTACCTGCCTCCCTTCCTAGCAACAGCACTTCCCCTGATGGTGGCTGCCAGGAGCTAACTGTCTCTGAGTCCTTTGCTCAATGAACCCTCAATGAACGCTGAGTTCTTGGAGAAGAGGGTCAGAAATGCTCTCCAGTGATGACCCGTCAGCTGGCTGCGCTGTCTCACCTGGCTCTTCTCCCAACAGCTCCCAAGTCTTCTGTTTTTCTGTCTCTGAGCTGTGACTTTCCTAAATCAACCAATGTTATTTAATACAGTGGTACCTTGGGTTAAGAACTTAATTCATTCTGGAGGTCCATTCTTAACCTGAAACTGTTCTTTTAACCTGAGGTACCACTTTCGCTAATGGGGCCTCCTGCTGCTGCCGCCATGTGGCCACAGTGCAATTTCTGTTCGCATCCTGAAGCAAAGTTCTTAACCCGAGGTACTATGTCTGGGTTAGTGGAGTCTGTAACCTGAAGCACCTGTAACCTGAAGTGTCTGGAACCCGAGGTACCACTGTACTGCCTTCTTCTCCTCTGGAAGCTTCAGGAGAAGGGAGGGCAACCTCCACCATTTTGCTCCTCCTCAGTCTGGTTCCCTTCAGTCCAGTCTCTGCACCTGTTTATCTCAATCTTCCGATATTAAGGTCATTGGTGGTCATCTAATATTATCTGAATTACCCTTTGAGCTGAACATATTATAGCATTGTTTAAAACATTTTAATTAATATTCATTTTTGAAAGTTTTTATAAGAAGTTACTTGAAGGCAGCAGAAAAAATGTTCATGCCACTCTAAGGAGGACAGTGTGGCTACATGCATAACGTAGTAATTAAGTTCTTTAAAATCAATATGACTCATTAATCATTACTAGTCTTGTACAATGAAAAATGTCGTTTACCATTCTGGTTTGAAATCTTCCCTTCTGGACATGGAACACAATCATAGCAGCAAAATTTCTGCCCTTCCTTCCTTTTCTTCAGATTACCGGGGTGACAGTAGTCATTGCACACAGAAACAGGCACCACCTGTCAACAGGAAATTATCTTGTTTTTGGGGAAAGGGGTTTTTAAATAAACTTTATGAGGGTTTATAGATAAAAATACAAAACTTATTATCAAATATTTTTCCTCCCTTTTTTTTTGTCCAAACTAAGACTTTGATCTGAATACAATAAAGCATAAAGAGATGTGGGAGGAAGAAAGGGACAAAGAAAGAGAAAGAGAAAAACAATGAAAAAGAAATAGAAAAGAGGTTAAACGAGAGAGAGAAATAAAATTCAGAATGTAACTGACTTCTGGTTCTTCCTCTGTTCGCTATAAATAAACAATATTCACTTTATCCACTCCAATATAAGACCTAGAATGCCACTTTCTATACACAAACATTACCTTCAGTCCTCAAATCAAAATGTTATAATTAATTTTAACACCTATTCCATTGTTAGAATACTGGATCCTTCCATCTTTGTCCATATAAAAGTCTTGCAGACATAATCCTATAGTGTAGGAAAGTTCCATAGTCATTTTCTAACTGTATATCCATAACACCCAGGAAGAGTTTTGCACAGAAAAAATTGCATAGAGAAAAGACCATGTGTGGGAAATATTTAAAACTTTCATCAAGCTCCTAAGCATCCTTCATGATAGGATGAGGTATTCATGATTCACACACCCTTTGAGGCCAACACCAGCAAGCTAATGACACGAGTTGATGTAAAATTCATCCACACAGGTCGCAGAGCCTTTGGAAAAGTTTCTGGAACCAGAATTCATCTGAGAAACACTTATCAGACTGCCTCCACTAACTGCACCTTCCCGGTTCTGTTTGTAAGGTTTACAATGAACTTGGAAAATCCATCCCCCACCCCAAACCATCAAGACAATCATAGGAGAGAAAAAACCTACTTGTCCTAAACTATGATGATGACTTTACCTCAAATTGCATATGTTGAAGAAGAAGGATGGGGGGCGGCAGCGGCAAATGACAGACAATCTACATTATATGGCAGTGCATCTCTAATGCTGATACACATCGAAAACATAGCCCAAGCCACTTTTCTAAGCCAGACTGGGGGAGTGGTGTTAACACTTTAGGAATACAGAAATGGTTAGGGTCTTGTCAGCACTGATCTGTCTCAGGAGGAAATGGAAGAGTGGACCTTCGGGGTGAAGTCAAACCAATGGAAAGTTACAGCACTACCTAGATATTAAAACGTGCCCTTCAAAAGTGCTATACCAACTTACCATTTAAAAGAGTCACCTATTTGCACCTCAGTTTTTTTATCTATATAATGTGAGCACTGCCATGTATAAATGTAGCATAAATGGTAAAGGTAAAAGGACCCCTGACCATTAGGTCCAGTCGTGACCGACTCTGGGGTTGCGGCGCTCATCTCACTTTATTGGCCGAGGGAGCCAGCGTACAGCTTCCGGGTCATGTGGCCAGCATGACTAAGCCGCTTCTGGCGAACCAGAGCAGCGCACGGAAACGCCGTTTACCTTCCCGCCAGAGCGGTACCTATTTATCTACTTGCACTTTTACGTGCTTTTGAACTGCTAGGTTGGCAGGACCTGGGACTGAGCAACAGGAGCTCACCCTGTCGCGGGGATTCGAACCGCCAACCTTCTGATCGGCAAGTCCTAGGATCTGTGGTTTAACCCACAGCGATAAATGTGGCATAGTAAACATTATTAAAACAAAAGAATAGTTTGGTTTTGGAAGCTCATAATTGCATCCAGCTGGTACCAAAATTATTTTCATGCGTTTATGAAAGAAATCAGTGATGGTTATGTTGAGACACCTGAATGACCCATCTGAAGACTCCTGAATGACCCCAGACGCCAGACCTGTTTAAAACCTTTGTGCCACATAATCTTGTCCTCATGAATGATGAATTCCTTTCCATCAAGAGCATAGGGATTCACACATCCTATTTTCAATTGAATGAAAGACTTATTTGGGAATGTGACCATGTTCATTATGTCAAATCCACCTCGCATTCCTCTCTTATCAGTAAATGTTACTGTTTCTCCAGCTGAGTTGTTAAACGAAATGTCATGGAAAAAATGGTGCAGCTAAGGAAAGAGACAAAATACATGAAAGGAAAATAATGCAATGGAGCTTTTAATAAAATGCCATGATTTTCTACCAACATTCTTTAGGAATATTATTTACCTATGTTTATGTAACTTATTCTAACAAAGACGCAGCATTAATCAGCTGCTTGATATTAAATATTCTTCAGTGAATGAGACCCGTAGTGGCATTTTAGCAGCAGCTTGTTTCTTCCAATTGTGATCAACCTTTTACTTTTACAAATCTATTCATTGAAATTGTCTGATATTTTTATACTCTTCAATTGCAATCCATTACCTGCCAAGGCTGCAGATCTTGAATTTTTAATATTCCACTGTTTCCTATGGCTCTTTTCTTGAAACCAGTCAAGTATATCCCTTGCAAAATATGAGCCACAATGTAAACAGCCTTGTAGATACTGTAGCTGTGGCCAGTCATGCTCATTTCAAATAGAGATGCTGGAAGACTCTGCAACCTTTCCTCCCCAGTACACAGGTCAATGTCCTCTATTGGTACACTGGGATTTGGAAATGTACAATCAAATGCTTGCTCCCAGAAGTCCTTGAAAAACCCATCTCCCTGTGTCCAGTGAAGTTTTATTCCCTGAAGAAATTCTTGGAACTGTGGGAGATTTTGTGAATGAATTGTGAAGGAAATAGCACCTTGGAAGATCTGAAGGCCCCAACTCCTTTGAAATCCTGTTAATATGAAATCAATCTGAGATGTTACAATCCACACCTTTTTAAATGATGATGTTTCCCTATTTTCAGGATCGCTTGGAAATAGAATACTTCTGAGCCATATAATTGTCATAGATTCTCCATACATCATAAATACATGGGCTTTGTCATCTGTTAAATGAACATAAATATTCAAAACTATATCATGAAATCCATCAAAGTTATCAAAACGGGGTATTTGTGGGATTCTTTGCGTGAAGGTTAAACAGATTCCATTATGGGAAAATAATGGCTCCAGGGTCTCCAAGAAATGTTCTCCACTATTATCATCGACAGTGAAGAGCCCGACCCAGGTCCATCTGAAATGCTTAAGCAAACTGATAATCCCCATATGCTGATGGGCTTCATTGGGCACCATGCGGTAAAATGGTACTTGGCTTCCATAATTTTTGTCTGGGAGAGATGACCCATATGTGAGCTAAAAGAAAATGTACGTACGTTAAAGAGATTGCTTAGCAGCAGATGCCAGTTTATTAAAAAAAATACATGTTTAAGCAATTTATGGGTTAAATCCAAGAAGTTAGGTAGTTAGTTAGTTAGTTAGGTAGTTAGGTTGTTAGGTAGTTAGTTAGTGTATTGCCCTTCATCTGAAGATCTCAGGGTGTTTTCAGCATAAAAATGTGAAATAAAAGCACAAAATACCAAATATAAACAAGAACAGGAACAATACAAAAGAAAATATTGACCACTACTCAATCCGAAAAGGTTTTTATAATTGAAAGGAAAGGGGGAAATTGAAAAAGTAAATGAATGGAGGAAGACAGATAACTAGAATAGACAAGGAAGGGACAAAGGGCCAGGAAGGGAAAAGGGGCCAGAAAGTTAGGGATGAAGTTGAAGAAGCAACGACTTCGAAAGAATTGAGGTAGTAAGTGCATGTGACAGAAGGATGTTAGACGGCAGTGATTTCCCTTTTGTTTCAGTGAGTGTGGCAGGAGAGGAGATTGGGAGCTGTAATTTCCAGCCCCAGGTTTGTTCATGGAGCAAGCAAGTGTCCTCCTTATGGCTCACATGGAGATGGGAATGGATTGGCTAGAAATGGAATGCTAGGGAAAATGGCATTTGTAGGGGGATGCTTAGAAATCTACTAGGCCACCTTTAAACCAGTTGGGGTGGAGTTGCAGAAAGCTCAGGTCAACTTAAAGCACTGCAATATGTAGTAATAATAATAATAATAATAATAATAATAATAATAATAATAATAATAATAACCGTAGCGTCAATTTTTTAAAAAAATCAGATTTAAATGTCAGTCAAAAACCCTTCCTTTTTCTAAAGTTCAAAATGACTCCCAGAATGGTAAGGCAAGAGTGTATTTTGTGATACCTTTTCAGAGATCCTACCTGTGGAATCTTGTAGAGGCCAATTGTGTCAGCCATATAGAAGGAGGTGTCAGCGCTAAGTCCCCCAATGATGGCTATGAGATTTTTCTGGGTGTCACATTTGTAGTTGGGAACAAATCTATGCGATTTGAAGAGCAGGTCAAGAGTGGTACGATAGGTCATTCTGGCATCATAGTAGCTATCATAGATGTGGAAGCCGAGAGTGATATTAGGACAAAACTTGGGGTTCTCGTTTATCTCTTTCACGGCAAATGCCAAGGCAAGAATGTGCTGGTAGAATTTTGTTAACACACTGCAAGCAAAATTAATTAATGTACAACTTTGGAATAGGAAATCAATTTGCCACAATGCCATTTTTAGCACAAGCTGATTAAGATTGACATAAAATTATTTTAAATGTCATTGATTTTTCTAAGCTGTTAAACTCAGTGCAGTTCATATAAAGATTATGCTCTCTCATGGCATGCCTAACACTTTGAAACACATGCTATCAATTTCTTTCTTGACCTTCTCAGTTCTCTTGGTTCCCCAGTGGGAATCTTGGGAGACAGTCTACTATACTTCTGAAAGTTGTCGATTGTTACATATTTAAAAGTCTTTTTATTTATTTTTCTAAAGGGGAGAAACTTTTTATTTAGGCAAAATTAAGGACATTCCTTTATAAAGAAAATCAGCAAGACCACTAATCCCAGGGGCTTACCAGCCAGACTCACCATCTCCCAACATTTATATTAAAAGTCAGGGAAGCGCAAAATAAGTTATCTCCTTCCACAGAGGAGGCAATTTGAAAGCATTGTATAGATGTTTAATTGAAAGAAAAACATGCACATTTTTAGCTTTTTAATATGGCTTTTAACTTGGTTTACGGCTTGGTTTTATGTATTTCTGATGTAAGCTACTTTGATTTTTTTTATAAAAGAATGATATACAGATATATATTTAAAATAGTTTTGTAAGTAAAATATATACACCCATATCGTCCACTGCACAACAATGAAATAAGCTTAACCTCATACCTTGAAAAATTACTAAAGTTCCCTGCAAATGCAGAAAAACTCAGGATTCTTTAATGTGGGAACAGAACATTTGAGAAATTGAAAGACAACTTTAGACATGGCTCTAGTCTTATCATTTGAATTTCTTCCCCAGATTACCCCCCCCCCCAATTTTCAACTTTATCCTCATAAATGTCTGAATGGTAGAACAATTTCAATTGTTTGGTGCAATAATTTTTTGCAACAAAAATTCAAAATCCTTTTCCTCATTTTGCTTTACAGAATGGAAAGCATTCTCAATATGGTAAACCAAACTACTATTGTCTACATTGCCCAAGATAAATAATGTGACAGAGAATGAGGAGTGGCCAGAGATTGTCCAAAAGATTTTCTGTCAATAATTAAAAATGACTCATTGAGGAATGGTAGATGTATTGATTCAAGCGTTGTTTTATTGCCTCTCTTCAGCTACAAGTCTCCCACAGCACCTGAAAAACTAACTAAGACAATCTCTATCTTCAGATTTGCAATCTAAAACGCATGACACAAAAGCAAAGGAGATTTAGAATGATGCAAAGAGGGGGAAGGCTCTTACTATGGAACATCAAACATATTCTGTGAAGGGTGCTCCTTGAAGGAAACTTCATAGAAGACATAATAGACCAGAGAAGCAATCCCACCAATGATGAGGTCACCTGGCTGGTACCACTGATGTGGAGCAGGGAATGGATAATTCATGGGACACCTAAGTGTATCTACTTTGCACACAGCAGAAGGGAGAAGAGACAACATCAGCAGCCACAGCATCCTTGCGGTCAGACTTTTCTCTAAACACACACCTCCTGTTTCCATTCAGAGTAGCTGCACGACTTGAACAGGTTACATTGGTTAATTCCTAGCTCTTTCAATACAGCTTTAGAAGAATGGTTTACAACCAGCATTTGAGAATCAAAGGGTTACAACTGTATACCTTATTAGCCAATATTCCCAACACTGTGATGCTAAATCTGATCAATATTGTGTGTGAGAGAGAGAGTGTGTGTGTGTGTGTGTGTGTGACACGTGAGCATTGAAACTGACAGAACCTTGACTGCTTCTTATCCCTGTTTCCTGCTCCCAATAGTATGCGGTTTCTTTATAACCACTTTTAGGTTTGCTTATTGACTGATTTCTTGAGTTCTAGGAAGCCTCAAAAGGTTCGGAGAAGTGAGCAAATTATAGTGATTTGGATAATTGCTGAGTGAGATGGTTACTTTTTCATTGCTTTGGCTGTAAGTAGAAGTTTTGCTAACAAACATGCTGAATTACCCCCACTTTCAATCATTTTCTCCTTAGGGGCAGAAAAAGTGACAAATGCAATTTTCCATGGTGAGCAAACACCAAAAGAAAAGTAAGACTGAAACTTTCAGCTAAATCTGATCAATATTATATGTGTGTGTGTGTGTGACACGTGAGCATTGAAACCGACAGAACCTTGACTACTTCTTATCCCTGTTTCCTGCTCCCAATAGTATGCGGTTTCTTTATAACCACTTTTATAACCACAATTTTCCATGGTGAGCAAACACCAAAAGAAAAGTAAGACTGAAACTTTCAGCTTTGATGACTCAGAGAAGTAGTAGATGATCCTGAAATGAAAGGCGGCTGGTCAACTGCAGTTTTGCGTGTCGAGGTCCCCAGGTCCACCCCAATAACTCACACATCACACAGAATTTTTTGTTTAAGGTTTTTGGCATAATTTTGGCCACAACTTTATTAAAATACAAATTTGTGAGTGGTTGCTTAGGCATTGGTTGCGACTATCTGCCCCCACCATGGGGGTCAGACTGACATTCCGCACAATGCGAAAGTCAGAATGGGGGAATACACTTGGGGGTTACGCGGAGCAGGGAATCTGCCCTCACCCCAAATGCAACCAGGAGCTCATTGCTATGGCCCGAGCCCCCTTGACAGAGTGGACAAGCAATAGTTAGCCCCCAATTCCTTTAACGGAATCCCTTGCAGCAGCAGCATTAGAGGGGCAGGCACAGCCAATCCATGCCCCTCAACCAACCAAACCATAAACCAATGCCTAACCGCCACCGAGCACTCAAGCTCGACGCCAACCACTCACAACTGCAACCCTTCCTTCAATCCCAAAGCAACCGCATCCAGCCAGGTGTTGTTCCCCATAGGGGAAAGATGCACCCCATCTGCCCTAAAGAGGGCAACAGCCTTGAAGGAAATAGCAGGGTGCAATATCACAGAACACCTAATGCAAGGACTTATTTTATTTTATTGATTATTTTATGTTATTTTATTTTCCACCGCCTTATTAACATGCTTTCTGGCCTGCTCGGTGGTAGTTTGTCTAGGCATTGGTTCCGACTATCTGCACCTGACCGCAGCAGGGCAGCACTGACGTCTGGGCCCCACCATATCGTTAGTACAAGCAAACATCGTGGGGGAGCAATGAACCAGGATCAGACTCAAGCGCACCCCAAATGCTCCAGGGACCCTTTCGTGGCCCTACCCATCGAAAGGGGTCGACAAAAGCGTGGTGAATCCTTGGATTCCTTTAAAGGATTACCTTTGCGCATTGGAGGGGACAGGTGCTCCGACCCCCCTCCAGACCACCTTGAACCAATGCCTTAAATTATTTTGAGTCCAGGGAGAGCTGCCATCAACTCATCCAAGTCCTTCTGCATGCAGGAATGCAAACTTATGCTGTAAGAAGACGGCAAGTCATTCTCGTCCAGCTGCACCACTAGCACTGCGGGAGGACCTGCACAGGTCACACTCGACCGCACCAAAGGAAGGAACTCCTCCCAAAGCATTCCCCATCTGGACACCCAGTATATGTTCACATGGGCAGGAAGACTGAGATGGCGCCCCAGTCCAGACTCGTCAGCGCGCTTGCCAGCCCAGTGTACAATGCTGTGACCGACAATCCAAATGTGCACAGCTGCTCCTATGAAAAAAGGAAATAACAGACAGGCATCAGCACAGACATCATGTAACCCTTTTCAGCATCAGACTTCCAATGACCCATATTCACAATCCTGTCTACTGACAGGCCCCCAGTGGGCAGCCTTTGCAGCAGCCCTATTCGGAAGGAATGAGGCGTGTTCAGCGGTAGGCAAGCCGCAGGCCGTAATAACTGGTGCACGATGTAAGCACATTGATGCCTGGCTAATGGGAACCCATTTTCATGGACTAGGAGCAGGCCAGTCCCCAGGGGAACGAAAAGCCAAATATTTCTGGTATCCATAACCGGGCAAAGGCCCTCCTCACCTGTGAGGGGAAGCCTGATGGTGGCACTCCTGCCCACTAGGTCTGTTTTAGAGTTCCCAACTCTAATGACCAGCTCGAAAGCAGATAAGGAAAAGTCCTGAAGCAATAAGCCTCCAGACTCTCAGCTCCGTGCTGGCTCCAACACAATTTCCCCAACCCTCAGTGCACCAAAAATGCAATGGAATACTGAAAGGAGTCTCTCCTTGATCTTTAACCAGCAGACAAGATATAACTTGTTGCAGATACTGCATAGGTAAAAACTGACCGACTTCCTGCCCACTGTTGTATGAGGTTGGAGCCTATTCCAACCTTCCAAGGCCCTGTGCACGACAGACTTTATATAAGGGTCTCTGCAAATTAAAGCTTTACTATAACAGACCTTGCAGCGGACTGAATACTGATAGTTTTAACAGCACATCCAATCTGCAGCAGGTGGACCAAATACTGCAGGATCTGCTTAGCGGATGGGGGCAAGTTCCTCTGAATGGCCAAGGGCTGTCAACTAAACCCTAAGAAATCCATCCAGGCCTTCTCATAAGAGCTAAAGCAGAAGGGAAATGGAAACTGCTACTCCCTGTAATTACTAATTGTTGTCAAAGTACAACAGGTGGTCCGGAAAAGTCCGGCAATAGCTGAGATTATGGAGCCCAGGATCTGAAGCACTCCATCTGAAATGGGATAGAGTGTCAGCAATATCATTAGAGGATCCCATAATCAGGTGAGCAGCAAGCACAATATTAAACCTTAAGCAGTGCAGCTCAAAAGCGTGAGCGGAGGGGCGGAGACTCTGCTGGAGCGTGAGGACTGTTCTGCCAAGATGCTCACCACTGCCTGGTTATCAGACCAAGCAGATCCAACGGTCACTGAACTCCTCGGTCCAGATGTGAACTGCTACTACAATGGGGAAAACTCAAGCAAAGTTAGGTCACATGACAGCCTCACCACACCAGGCTTGAGGCCATGGCTTTGCACACCAACAGCCCCTGAAATAAAAACCAAAGGCCAAAGACCCAGCAGCATCAGCATGAACCTGAAAATCGCTGTGCAGGTTCAAGGTATCCTGCCATGGTGAACTACTACTGCATCCATTTAGGAACTGCAACCACCGCATGAGATCCGGCTGCACCTCACTTGTTAAGCGTACACGAAGGTAAGGGGACCTCGGGCCACAGGCAGCCTGGCCAAGTGGGAACGGAAGGGGTGGCCTGGGGCAACGAATCTGCATGCAAAATTAATTTTAACTGACCTAGCAAATGATAGGATTTGACAAAGCAACACTTGCTTCAGAAGAAGTATAACAAAATAACTTCCTTGAAGGCAAACAGCTTCCCCACAGGCAAGCAGATGTTTGAGCAACGGTATCCAGCTAACCCCCAAATATTAAGAGGGGGTCCCATCCACTGCCTATGAAACACCCAGCTCCTCAAAGGGAATAAAGGATGTCTAGCAAGCCTACACAGAGGCTGGTGTCACATGAACCAGCCAGTAAAATAATCCAAAAAATGGTACCCCCTGTTAAATGAGTATAGACTCGCATTGTTCAATCCAGAAAGGCGCTAAAGGACTCGAGTGCCGCACAGTCTATTGCACAACCCATCGGCATCGCCTTATCAATACAAGGAGCCCCATCCAAATTAAAGCCCAACCACTTAAAAATTTCGCGGGTGAACCAGCAGCAGCCTAACAGCCGATTCAATATAGCATATTGCCAACAAGGCACCTCTTCTAATTTTGTGGTAACCTCAACCGCCTGCTCCAAAGACGTGAACTTCGCGGAACAATTCCTTAAGGATAGCGTCATTCACTGAGGTGCCTTAGGGATGCGATAAATAAGGATCAGATGGAATTATATGGGGGTTTCTTAGGGGTCCCACCATACGTCCCAATGCAAGCTGCTACCTGACCTTCTTTCTGGCTACCTCAAGTGGCTCTCTAACTGGCTTTTGATTTGCTGTATTCCGAGCCACTGGCTGAAAAGCCAGAGGAATCCTAAACCTTGAGAAAACCCTTTCCACAAGCACAAAGTCGCTGACCCCTCCAGATAACCTTTTAGCCAGGCTTTCGAGGGAGATAATTTTATGGGAATATGGGCCAGAGATGAGAAGCTATTGCTTGCCAGCTCCCAGCCCCCGCTTGGGCAGGGGGCGTCTTGTGCTGCCACCTAAGATATGTGAATTTACAGGGCTGCCACTGTCCAGAACCCCTAAACAACAAAGCTGCCGCCGGGCCAGCTTCCTGCACACCAGTTTCAGGTTCTACTGCTCAGGGAATTTCCATTTGAAATGTGGAGCTGCGGAAGTGGTCCACACGTCCCCGTCCCTGCGATCCCAGCAAGCTGTGGGAATGATGGCAGCCCTGCGTCTAAGATTCCCATCATAGTGAATTGCTACTTATAGAATCGTAGAGTTGGAAGGGACAGCAACAAACTTCTAGTCCACTCCCTAATAATAAATAAATAAATAAATAAATAAATAAATAAATAAATAAAATATGCCCCGCCCATCTAGCTGGGCTTCCCCTGGGTGGCTTCCAACAAAATATTAAAATATAGTAATGCATCAGACATTAAAAGCTTCCCTAAATAGGGCTGCCTTCCGATGTCTTTTAAAAGACTGGTAGTTGACATCTGGTGGGAGGCCTCTCCACAGGACAGGTGCCACCACCGAGAAGGCCCTCTGCCCGGCCCCCTGCAACCCGGCTTCTGTCCAGTTAGAACGATGGGGGAGCATGCAGCTGTCCCATACAGGGACCAATCCTGCAACCTAGGCATTACTGGCACCACGTGCTGACCTGCTGAGCTAACCAGGATGATCCTTAAAGACCCGGGACAGCCTCACCCTGACCCCATAGAGGTCCAAGGTGACGTCTGAATAGTCATAAGAGCCCAGGGATGAAGCACCTGTGAGGAAGTGTAAGTATCATCTCTGCTCTTCTTTGCCCTCCCGTCCTGGATCACCGCCTCTGAAGACGCTTTCTTCCAGAAGAAGGCACCTGGGGCATCAGCAAAACATCCTGTGCAGGAGAGGCAAGCTCTGAAGGCATCTGCAAAGGCCCTGCCATAGTCTGCAAAAAACTAAATAATGTGAGGAACCAGTGAAACCAATGCTTCGTGCACCACATGGGAACGCTATTCAGGCCGAAAATTGCTGCCAGAGGCCATCAAATTCTCGAGCAAAGCCCTAGGATCACCTGCTAGGCCAGACATAAAATGTTTCCAATGAGATAACAGACTTGAGGCAGCCCACCGCCTGTCCAGGTACCCCTGCTTGCCCTTTTAGAGGGAAGCATCCCCTCAAGAAACCCAAATTTATTTTGATTTGTTTTGTTATAACAATGGCTAAGTGAGGGATATGAACCCTGTCTCCCAGGACCTAGTCCTGCACTCTAGCCACTAAGCCACAATGGCTCGTCTCTAAAACATTTTCTTTACAATTAAATTACACAGGCTGCAATGTCAGCCTAAATTAATGCAATAAAAACAAGCGCTGCAGTACCTCAGAACGGCCACTAGAGGGCCTACGAGAGCAAACTAGGCCTCAAAAATGGCGCTCCCGCCAAAAAGAAGCAGGGAAGGTGGCGATCACAACGGGGCCTGCTCCCAGGCCCCAATTAGGCCGCGCCTGCCTCCCTGCAGCCCTGGCAGACACCAGACCTCCCTGCTTCGCAGGGAAGGCCTGCCAGGCTAACAAGGCCGAAACAGGCCCTTTAAAGAATAGGGCGGGGGGGGGCTCACGGCAAGGCCTCCCAAGGGCCTGGCAAGGCCGGAGGCACCAGGCGCCGCCGAAAAAGGCCTAAAAACGGCCGCCCGAGGCCAGGCCGAGGCTGCTGCGCCCTCAGCCAGGCCCACCCTTCACGCGGGACTGGCAGAAAAAGGGCAGCCCAGGCAATGAATTAAAGAAAACCGGCCTTGGAAAGACCTGCCACCAAATTAGAAGACCCAACGTTAAGGTACGCTAAAGGGGGGGGGAGTAGGGGGGAAGTAACGACCAAAGGGGGTGGGAAAGCAGAGAAAAATTAAAAGAAAAAATTACACAGAAAAGGAAATTTAATAGGACTAAAATATCAATTAAATATAAAGGTAACGCAATTAAAGCAGGCCAAAGACACAAGGTAATTAGTAGAAAAATACAACCGTCTCCTTTCACTGTGATCAATCCACTGCACGGGCGAAAAGAGGAAGCCCTAGCCTCGTGCAAGGAGTTTTAGCATTTCTGGCTGTCAATCAATAAATGGCAACATTAATTTCTTCCCAACAACAAGGGAAGCCCCAATCACATCAGTGGCCAACAATCAGTTAGCCCGCCCCCAACTTTGGAGTGTCCTGGCGGCCCCCACCGCAACACGTGCTCTCCATGAAGGAGAACACGCTTTATCAAAGAAATGTAAAGCTCCAAGAATGGAGAACCTGTGGGGTTCCAGGTGCTGCTGGAATACAGCTTCCATCATTTCCGACCACAGACCATGTAGGCAGGGGCTGATTCCTAAAGTGTTATTACTCAGTCCAGATGTGTGGGAGATTGGCTGCTCTTGATGGGGATGTACTTCTTCTGAAGGAGCAGGTTCGTAGCTTGGGGATATTCCTGGATCCCTTGCTGTCACTTGAGGCCCAGGTGGCCTCAATGGCAAAGAGTGCCTTCCATGAGCTTCGGCTGGTAGCCCAGCTACAGCCCTATCTGGACAGGGATCACCCAACTACTGTCGTCTATGCTCTGGTAATCTCAAAATTAAATTACTGCAATGTGTTATAATGTATTATATGCAGGGTTGCCTCTGAAGATGGTTTGGAAACTTCAACTGGTGCAGAACTCAGCGGCCGGGTTGCTCACTGGAACTAAACGGTTCGAGCATATTACACCGATCCTGGTCCAATTGCACTGTCTACTGATATGTTCTGGTCCCAATTCAATTGACCTATGAAGCCTTAAACAACTCAGTACCACAATACCTTAAGGACTGCCTCTCCCCATCTGAACCTGCCCGGGCCCTGAGATCATCCTCTGAGGCCCTTCTTCATGTGCCTCCTCCTCAATAGGTCAGGAGGGTGGCAACACAAGAAGGAGCCTTTTCTGTGGTGGTTCCCCATCTGTGGAATGCTCTCCCCAGGGAAATTCACCTTGCACCTTTACTCTACATCTTTAGGCATCAGGCAAAAACATTCCTCTTCAACCAGGCCTTTGCCTGACCTGACATTCTATACCCTTTTTAAAATGCTGGCTCTTTTCACGGGGGGTGGGGAAGTAAAACTGCTTTCTGTTTTGATTTTATGTAAGTGATTCTTAATGTGAACCACCCTGATACCTTTAGGTATAGGGCAGTATAGAAATAAAATAAATAATAATAATAATATATCTGAATGGGAAATTGACCCAATATACTAGCATCTTCATCATGGGCTGACAAAAAGTTTACTCGTTTTCTGTGCAGCGTGTTCCCAATCCAAATGTCCACCCATCTCTCACCGAGCTATTTATAACAATAAAAAAGGTTTCAAGGATTTTGTATTGATGTGTAATGTGCAGTTTGTTCCTCACTTGAAACCCTCAAGATGCCACAAAGCAGTTTCTCTATGTGCGGCATTTCTAAATTGATAGAATTAGTTTACAATTGCCCAGAAGGGTTTTCAAGATGTTGTTCTTGCTCATTTGCTGCTCTTGGAGGAAGAGTGGGGTATAAATATAGATGAATGAATAGTAAATCTCTTTAATTTGTAAACTAAATCTGCATCCATCATTTAAAATGTATATCCTTCCTAATTCCCCACAGTGGAAATTAAAATGTGTTTGGCAGTTCAGCTGTGGGAAGGTGGCCGGAGGGGACCTTGTAGAGGAAATCACAAGTTTGACCACTTTGCTGGTCAACCGACAAACCAATATGACTTGTTATGGATAATTTGTTTTGAGGAGGAAACACCTGGTCTACATTGGTTTGATTTGGACCCCCTTAAAAGCAGGAAATGGAGAAGCTGCCTTCCATTCTTGGGCATCATAGAATTCTAGAGTTGGGAGAGACCTCAAGAGTCATCTAGTACAACCTCCTTTAATGCAAACTGAGATTGTGGCTGACAGGAAAATAGGATAACCTTTATCAATGTTATCAATAACATTTTTTTTTTAAAAAGTTACACATATTGCCAGCACACCTGGAAATGAATCTCATGAGACATAAACTGTCACTTTATTAACAATAAACTTGAGGGTGTGACATAGAACACTGAACAATAAATTAAACAATAATGTTAAAATAAATATTCTAAATGCAGGTGTTTTAATCTAAATGTCATTTATGTGTTATATAATGCAGGTTGTGGGGAACATTTGGCCCTCCAAATTTTGCTGACCTATAACTCCCATCACCCCTAGCCACTAGCCAGACCTGCTTGAGATAAAAGGAGTTGTAGTTTATCAGCATCTGAAGGGCTCCACCTTTCAATCACTTGGTGTCGCAATGCCCGGCAATGAGTCTATTTGAAGGCACATTTCCACAGATGCATCCTCTTGGAGCAGATAGTGTCTTCCACTGCAGAATTGAGCCTTTGCTAGCAGTTGCTGCTTCTTATGGCAAATGCACAATCAGGAACTCACTTTAAGCTCTGGATTGTTCCTCTGAAATAATTGGTACCTTTGCCACACTTACTGTCAATTGTATAGTCAGATGAGGGTTAGATGAGTGTGGATTGTCAGGAATGGTTTGGCAATTGGAATCATTCCTAGATGAAAGTTGGCCCACCAGCCAGAGGTCCCCTACCAATATGCTAGGTTGACATAACATTTAATTTCACAAATTTGAGCTTTTTAGTACATGCTTGTACTTTTCCCACAAAAGAGTGAGACCGGAGGTACTTATAGTAAAAACTTTATACTAAACTCCTTAATAGAATAAAGAACTAAGATGCAATACTTAGGAGAAATATTTACATCTTCCTCCTTATTAGTTGCTCCCTGCTGTTCAGCTCAGGCTTCAGAAAAATGATGTAGCATTTGGGGGCAAAGATGCAGCCCAACAATCCAGCACTGGAGGACAAGATGGAGAAGATCTCCACCACCATCATGGATTTTCCTTTGGTGCTCAGATAGGTTGGAACAAAAGAAAGCCAAACACTGCAGAAGAGCAACATGCTGAAGGTAATGAACTTGGCTTCATTGAAACTGTCTGGTAATTTGCGAGCTGCAAATGCCACAGTGAAGCTGGCAATGGCCAGGAGGCCCATGTAGCCCAGGACACAATAAAACATGGTCACTGAGCCTTCATTACATTGCACAATGGTTTCCTCTGTTACTGAGTTCATGTCTAGATCAGGGAATGGGGGAGAGGTCATCAACCACCCAGTACAAATACTCACTTGAATGAGTGAGCCAGAAAGGACAATGCAGTTGCTCAGTCTTTTCCCCACCCACTTCCTCATAGTGGACCCAGGCTTGGTGGCCATGAAAGCTGCAACTACAGTAATGGTTTTGGCCAAAACACAAGAAATAGCCACGGAGAAGATGATGCCAAAAGTGGGTTGTCGAAGAAGGCAGGTCATTTTGCCAGGGTGTCCAATGAAGAGAAAGGATGAGAGGAAGCAGAGTAGGAGGGCAATGAGGAGAGCATAGGTGAGATCCCTGTTGTTGGCTTTGACAATGGGAGTGTCTTTGTGTTTAATAAAAGTTCCCAGCACCAAAATTGTAATTAGGGCAAAAAGAACAGCAACTGATGTTAAGCCGATCCCTAAAGGTTCCTTATAGGAAAGAAAGGTTATTAACTTGGGAATGCATCCATTTTTGTTCTTGTTTGCATACTGATCTTCTGGGCATCTGAAGCAGTTGTCCAAATCTGAAAAAATAGCATAAGGCCAAACTCCAATTGCAATTCATGAGTGTCCTTTGCCTCCTACATCTAAGTTATCATTCCTCTTGTCAGAATCCGGGTAATTCTCTCCCTCCTCCGGTGGATGCAAGGAGCAGAGAAAAACAAGAAAGAGTTCTTACTAATGAATTTGTTAAATCATCACAGCGCGAGACAACAGAATCAGTCTGCCTCCCCATCAATGGTGTTGCTCCAAATGAGCTCTACCTGCCTCCCTTCCTAGCAACAGCACTTCCCCTGATGGTGGCTGCCAGGAGCTAACTGTCTCTGAGTCCTTTGCTCAATGAACCCTCAATGAACGCTGAGTTCTTGGAGAAGAGGGGCAGAAATGCTCTCCAGTGCTGAAGTGTCAGCTGGCTGCACTGTCTCGCCTGGCTCTTCTCCCAACAGCTCCCAAGTCTTCTGTTCATCTGTCTCTGAGCTGTGACTTTCCTAAACCAACCAGTGCTATTCAATACAGTGGTACCTTGGCTTAAGAATTTAATTCGTTCTGGAGGTCCATTCTTAACCTGAAACTGTTCTTAACCTGAGGTACCACTTTCGCTAATTGGGCCTCCTGCTGCCGCCGCATGGCCGCCGTGCAATTTCTGTTCTCATCCTGAAGCAAAGTTCTTAACCCGAGGGACTATTTCTGGGTTAGCGAAGTCTGTAACCTGAAGCGCCTGTAACCTGAAGTGTCTGTAACCCGAGGTACCACTGTACTGCCTTCCTCTCCTCTGGAAGCTTCAGGAGAAGGGAGGGCAACCTCCACCATTTTCCTCCTCCTCAATCTGGTTCCCTTCAGTCCAGTCCCTGCACCTGTTTACCGCAATCTTCCGATATTATGCTAATTGGTGGTCGCGTAATATTTTATGAATTCCCTTTTGCGCTCAACATATTATAGGCCTTGTTTAAAACATTTTAATTAATATTCATTTTTGAATGTTTTTATAAAAAGTTGCTGGAAGGCAGCAGAAAAAATGTTCATGGATACTACACCCTGGGTAGTGTAGTTGCTGACCTTGAGCCAGACATCCTGGAGAGTGAAGTCAAATGGACCTTAGAAAGACCTGCTAATAACAAGGCCAGTGGAAGTGATGATATTCCAGCTGAACTATTTAAAATTTTAAAAGATGATGCTGTTAAGGTGCTACACTCAACATGCCAGCAAATTTGGAAAACTCAGCAGTGGCCAGAGGATTGGAGAAGATCAGTCTACATCCCAATCCCAAAGAAGGGCAGTGCCAAAGAATGCTCCAACTACTGCACAATTGCACTAAAACAAGACAGAGTTCTTATTAATGAGTTTGTTAAATCATCACAGCATGAGACAAAGGAATCAGTCTGCCTCCCGATTAATGGTTTTTCTCCAAATGAGCTCCTCCTGCCTCCCTTCCTAGCAACAGCACTTCCCTCTTGCTCTTGCACACTCAATGAACGATGAGTTCTTGGAGAAGAGGGGCAGAAATGCTCTCCAGTGCTGAAGTGTCAGCTGGCTGCACTGTCTCGCCTGGCTCTTCTCCCAACAGCTCCCAAGTCTTCTGTTCATCTCTCTCTGAGCTGTTACTTTCCTAAACCAACAAGTGTTATTCAATACAGTGGTACCTCGGGTTAAGAACTTAATTCGTTCTGGAGGTCCATTCTTAACCTGAAACTGTTCTTAACTTTAGCTAATGGGGCTTCCTGCTGCTGCTGCGCCACCACTGCACGATTTCTGTTCTCATCCTGAGGCAAAGTTCTTAACTCGAGGTACTATTTCTGGGTTAGCGGAGTCTGTAACCTGAAGCATCTGTAACCTGAAGTGTACTGCCTTCATCTCCATTGGAAGCTTCAGGAGAAGGGAGGGCAACCTCCACTATTTCCCTCAATCTTGTTCCCTTTAGTCCAGTCTCTGCACCTGTTTATCTCAATCTTCCGATGTTAAGGTAATTGGTGGTCATCTAATATTATCTGAATTACCCTTTGAGCTGAACATATTATAGCCTTGTTTAAAACATTTTAATTAATATTCATTTTTGAAAGTTTTTATAAGAAGTTACTTGAAGGCAGCAGAAAAAATGTTCATGCCACTCTAAGGAGGACAGTGTGGCTACATGCATAACGTAGTAAACAAGTTCTTTAACATCAATATGACTCATTAATCATTACTAGTCTTGTACGATTAAAAATGTCGTTTACCATTCTGGTTTGAAATCTTCCCTTCTGGACATGGAACACAATCATAGCAGCAAAATTTCTGCCCTTCCTTCCTTTTCTTCCGATTACCAGGGTGGCAGTAGTCATTGCACACAGAAACAGGCACCACCTGTCAACAGGAAATTATCTTATTTTTGGGGAGAGGGGTTTTTAAATAAACTTTATGAGGGTTTATAGATAAAAATACAAAACTTAATATCAAATATTTTAACAGCTATTCCATTGTTAGAATAATGGATCCTTCCATCTTTGTCCATATAAAAGTCTTGCAGCCATAATCCTATATTGTAGCAAAGTTCCATGGTCATTTTCTAACTGTATATCCAAAGACCCAGGAAGAGTTTTGGCTAAGAGAAAATTGCATAGAGAAAAGACCATGTGTGGGAAATATTTAAAATTTTCATCAAGCTCCTAAGCATCTGTCATGATAGGATGAGCTATTCATGATTCACACACCCTTTGAGGCCAACACCAGCAAGCTAATGACACGAGTTGATGTAAAATTCATCCACACAGGTCGCAGAGCCTTTGGAAAAGTTTCTGGAACCAGAATTCATCTGAGAAACACTTATCAGACTGCCTCCACTAACTGCACCTTCCCGGTTCTGCTTGTAAGGTTTACAATGAAGTTGGAAAATCCATCCCCCACCCCAAAGCATCAAGACAATCATAGGAGAGAAAAAACCTACTTGTCCTAAACAATGGTGATGACTTTACCTCAAATTGCATATGTTGAAGAAGAAGGATGGGGGCGGCGGCGGCAAATGACAGACAATCTACATTATCTGGCAGTGCATCTCTAATGCTGATACACATCGAAAACATAGCCCAAGCCACTTTTCTAACCCAGACTGGGGGAGCGGTGTTAACACTTTAGGAATACAGAAATGGTTAGGGTTTTGTCAGCACTGATCTGTCTCAGGAGAAAATGGAAGAGTGGACCTTCGGGGTGAAGTCAAACCAATGGAAAGTTACAGCACTACCTAGATATTAAAACGTGCCCTTCAAAAGTGCTATACCAACTTACCATTTAAAAGAGTCACCTATTTGCACCTCAGTTTTTTTATCTATATAATGTGAGCACTGCCATGTATAAATGTGGCATAAGTGGTAAAGGTAAAGGGACCCCTGACCATTAGGTCCAGTCGTGACCGACTCTGGGGTTGCGGCGCTCATCTCGCTTTATTGGCCGAGGGAGCCAGCGTACAATTTCCGGATCATGTGGCCAGCATGACTAAGCCGCTTCTGGCGATCCAGAGCAGCGCACGGAAACGCCGTTTACCTTCCCGCCAGCGCGGTACCTATTTATCTACTTGGACTTTGACGTGCTTTTGAACTGCTAGGTTGGCAGGAGCTGGGACCGAGCAACAGGAGCTCACCCCGTCGCGGGGATTCGAACCGCCAACCTTCTGATCGGCAAGTCCTAGGATCTGTGGTTTAACCCACAGCAATAAATGTGGCATAGTAAACATTATTAAAACAAAAGAATTGTTTGGTTTTGGAAGCTCATAATTGCATCCAGCTGGTACCAAAATTATTTTCATGCGTTTATGAAAGAAATCAGTGATGGTTATGTTGAGACACCTGAATGACCCCAGATGCCAGACCTGTTTAAAACCTTTGTGCCACATAATCTTGTCCTCATGAATGATGAATTCCTTTCCATCAAGAGCATAGGGATTCACACATCCTATTTTCAATTGAATGAAAGACTTATTTGGGAATGTGACCATGTTCATTATGTCAAATCCACCTCGCATTTCTCTCTTATCAGTAAATGTTACTGTTTCTCCAGCTGAGTTGTTAAATGAAATGTCATGGAAAAAATGGTGCAGCTAAGGAAAGAGACAAAATACATGAAAGGAAAATAATGCAATGGAGCTTTTAATAAAATGCCATGATTTTCTACCAACATTCTTTAGGAATATTATTTACCTATAGTTATGTAACTTCTTCTAACAAAGACCCAGCATTAATCAGCTGCTTGATATTAAATATTATTCAGTGAATGAGACCCGTAGTGGCATTTCAGCAGCAGCTTGTTTCTTCCAATTGTGATCAACCTTTTACTTGTACAAATCTATTCATTGAAATTGTCTGATATTTTGCTACTCTTCAGTTGCAATCCATTACCTGCCAAGGCTGCAGATCTTGAATTTTTAATATTCCACTGTTTCCTATGGCTCTTTTCTTGAAACCAGTCAAGTATATCCCTTGCAAAATATGAGCCACAACGTACACAGCCTTGTAGATACTGTAGCTGTGGCCAGTCATGCTCATTTCAAATAGAGACGCCGGAAGACTCTGCAAGCTCTCCTCCCCAGTACACAGGTCAATGACCTCTATTGGTACACTGGGATTTGGAAATGTACAATCAAATGCTTGCTCCCAGAAGTCCTTGAAAAACCCATCTCCCTGTGTCCAGTGAAGTTTTATTCCCTGAAGAAATTCTTGGAACTGTCAGGAGATTTTGTGAATGAATTGTGAAGGAAATAGCACCTTGGAAGATCTGAAGGCCCCAACTCCTTTGAAATCCTGTTAATATGAAATCAATCTGAGATGTTACAATCCACACCTTTTTAAATGATGATGTTTCCCTATTTTCAGGATCGCTTGGAAATAGAATACTTCTGAGCCATATAATTGTCATAGATTCTCCATACATCATAAATACATGGGCTTTGTCATCTGTTAAATGAACATAAATATTCAAGGCTATATCATGAAATCCATCAAAGTTATCAAAACGGGGTATTTGTGGGATTCTTTGCGTGAAGGTTAAACAGATTCCATTATGGGAAAATAATGGCTCCAGGGTCTCCAAGAAATGTTCTCCACTATTATCATCGACAGTGAAGAGCCCGACCCACGTCCATCCAAAATGCGTAAGCAAACTGATAATCCCCATATACTGATGGGCTTCATTGGGCACCATGCGGTAAAATGGTACTTGGCTTCCATAATTTTTGTCTGGGGGAAATGATCCATATGTGAGCTAAAAGAAAATGTACGTACGTTAAAGAGATTGGTTAGCAGCAGATGCCAGTTTACTCAAAAAAAATACATGTTTAAGCAATTTATGGGTTAAATCCAAGAAGTTATTTAGTTAGTTAGTCAGTTAGTTAGTTAGGTAGGTAGTTAGGTTGTTAGGTTGTTAGGTAGTTAGTTAGTGTATTGCGAAATGTGAAATAAAAGCACAAAATACCAAATAGAAACAAGAACAGGAACAATACAAAAGAAAACAATGACCACTACTCAATCCCAAAAGGTTTTTATAACTGAAAGGAAAGGGGGAAATTGAAAAAGTAAATGAATGGAGGAAGACAGATAACTAGAATAGACAAGGAAGGGACAAAGGGCCAGGAAGGGGGGGAAAGGCCAGGAAGCTTGGGATGAAGTTGAAGAAGGAGCAACGACTTCGAAAGAATTGAGGTAGTAAGTGCATGTGACAGAAGGATGTTAGAAGTCAATGATTTCCCTTTTGTTTCAGTGAGTGTGACAGGGGAGGAGATTGGGAGCTGTAATTTCCAGCCCCAGGTTTGTTCATGGAGCAAGCAAGTGTCCTCCTTATGGCTCACACGGAGATGGGAATGGATTGGCTAGAAATGGAATGCTAGGGAAAATGGCATTTGTAGGGGGATGCTTAGAAATCTACTAGGCCACCTTTAAACCAGTTGGGGTGGAGTTGCAGAAAGCTCAGGTCAACTTAAAGCACTTCAATATGTAATAATAATAATAATAATAATAATAATAATAATAATAATAATAATAATAATAACCGTAGCGTCAATTTTTTAAAAAAATCAGATTTAAATGTCAGTCAAAAACCCTTCCTTTTTCTAAAGTTCAAAATGACTCCCAGAATGGTAAGGCAAGAGTGTATTTTGTGATACCTTTTCAGAGATCCTACCTGTGGAATCTTGTATTTTTTTTTAAATTTTTTATTAGTTTTCCAAACATGTAATAAAGACAAACAACAAAACAAAACAAAACATACACACAAATAAACATGTATAATTTCATAGACTCATTCTCCTTCACCTTGTTTCCCGGACTTCCCCATACCTCCCTTTTTCTGCATCCTTATTTTTCCCTTTTAACAGCAACCCTTCATTTCATTATTAATTCGTCTTCATTATAGCTCCCTTAAATTTATGATATACAGCTGCAATTCTCTATTTCTTAACACCATAACATCTCAGCACTCTTCGATTTTACAACAGTTTTTAAGGTATACTTTGAATTTCTTCCAATCTTCTTCCACTGTCTCTTTCCCCTGGTCGCGGATTCTGCCGGTCATCTCAGCCATTCCCATGTAGTCAATCACCTTCGCTTGCCATTCTTCCAGAGTAGGTAGCTGCTGCGTCTTCCAATACTTTGCCAGAAGAATCCTTGCTGCTGTGGTAGCATACATGAAAAAGGTTCTGTCCTTCCTTGGCACCAATTGGCCCACCATGCCCAGGAGAAAAGCCTCTGGTTTTTTTTAGAAATGTCCATTTAAGGACCTTTTTGATTTCATTATAGATCATTTCCCAGTAGGCCTTAATCCTCGGGCAGGTCCACCAAAGGTGATAGAAAGTACCTTCAGTTTCATTACATTTCCAACATTTATTATTGGGCAAGTGGTAAATTTTTGGAAGTTTGACTGGGGTCATATACCATCTATAGATCATTTTCATTATATTTTCTCTCAAAACATTACAGGCCGTGAATCTAACACCAGTATTCCACAGCCTTTCCCAGTCTTCAAACATAATGTCATGACCTATGTCTTGTGCCCATTTAATCATAGCTGATTTTACTGTTTCATCTTGTGTGTTCCATTTCAGCAGCAAATTATACATTCTTGACAAGTTCTTAGTATTGGGTTCTAACAATTCTGTTTCTAATTTCGACCTCTCCATCTGAAAACCTATTTTCCTGTCCTGTTTAAATACCTCGTTTATCTGAAGGTAGTGCAGCCAATCTCGTACTTTAGACTTTAATTTATCATAGCTCTGTAATTTGACCCTTTCACCATCTTGCTCTAAGATTTCACTGTATTTTGGCCATTTGGACTCCATATTAAGTTTTTTCGTCTCTTTAGCTTCCATTGGTGATAGCGACCTGGGAGTTTTACTTTCCAGTAGATCTTTATATCTTATCCAAACATTATATAGTGTTTTCCTAACAATATGGTTTTTGAAACCTTTATGTATTTTTACCTTGTCATACCATATATATGCATGCCAACCGAATCTATTATCATACCCTTCCAGATCCAAAATGTCTGTATTCTCAAGAAGTAGCCATTGTTTCAGCCAGCAAAACGCTGCCGATTCATAGTAAAGTCTCAGGTCCGGCAGGGCAAACCCCCCTCTTTCTTTTGCATCAGTTAAGATCTTAAAGTTTATTCTGGGCTTTTTGCCCTGCCAGACAAATTTTGATATGTCTTTTTGCCACTTCTTGAAACAGTCCATTTTATCTAAAATCTGAAGTGTCTGAAACAAAAACAACATTCTAGGCAATACATTCATCTTGATGACAGCAATTCGGCCTAACAAGGAAAGTCTCAACCGTGACCATATTTCTAGATCTTTCTTCACCTCTGTCCAGCATTTGTCATAATTGTCTTTAAATAAATTCACATTTTTAGAAGTCAAGTTCACACCCAGGTACTTCACTTTTTTTGTTATTACTAAACCTGTTTCCCTCTGAAATTTCTCTTTTTCTGCCATTGTTAAATTTTTCTCCAACACTTTAGTTTTCTGCTTGTTCAATTTAAATCCTGCTACTTGACCAAATATCTCAATTAGTTCTAGTACTCTTTTAGTACTAGTATCTGGCTGTTGCAAAGTCAATACAAGATCATCTGCACCTACCTGTGGAATCTTGTAGAGGCCAATTGTGTCTGCCATATGGAAGGAGGTGTCAGCGCTAAGTCCCCCAATGATGGCTATGAGATTTTTCTGGGTGTCACATTTGTAGTTGGGAACAAATTGATGTGATTTGAAGAGCAGGTCAAGAGTGGTACGATAGGTCATTCTGGCATCATAGTAGCTATCATAGATGTGGAAGCCGAGAGTGATATTAGGACAAAACTTGGGGTTCTCATTTATCTCTTTCACAGCAAATGCCAAGGCAAGAATGTGCTGGTAGAATTTTGTTACTACACTGCAAGCAAAGATAATTAATGTACAACTTTGGAATATGAGATCAATTTGCCACAATGCCATTTTTACCACAAACAGATTAAGATTGACATAAAATTATTTTAAATGTCATTGATTTTTCTAAGCTGTTAAACTCAGTGCAGTTCATATAAAGATTATCCTCTCTCAAGGTATGCCTAACACTTTGAAACACATGCTATCAATTTCTTTCTTGACCTTCTCAGTTCTCTTGGTTCCCCAGTGGGAATCTTGGGAGACAGTCTACTATACTTCTGAAAGTTGTCGATTGTTACATATTTAAAAGTCTTTTTCTTTATTTTTCTAAAGGGGAGAAACTTTTTATTTAGGCAAAATGAAGGACATTCCTTTATAAAGAAAATCAGCAAGACCTCTAATCGCAGGGGCTTACCAGCCAGACTCACCATCTCCCAACATTTATATTAAAACTCAGGGAAGTGCAAAATGAGTTATCTCCTTCCACAGAGGAGGCAATTTGAAAGCATTGTATAAATGTTTACTAGAAAGAAAAACATGCACATTTTTAGCTTTTTAATATGGCTTTTAACTTGGTTTACGGCTTGGTTTTATGTATTTCTGATGTAAGCTACTTTGATTTTTTTATAAAAGAATATGTAGATATATATTTAAAATAGTTTTGTAAGTAAAATATATACACCCATATCGTCCACTGCACAACAATGAAATAAGCTTAACCTCATACCTTGAAAAATTACTAAAGTTCCCTGCAAATGCAGAAAAACTCAGGATTCTTTAATGTGGGAACAGAACATTTGAGAAATTGAAAGACAACTTTAGACATGGCTCTAGTCTTATCATTTGAATTTCTTCTCCAGATTACCCCCCCCCCCATTTTCAACTTTATCCTCATAAATGTCTGAATGGTAGAACAATTTCAATTGTTTGGTGCAATAATTTTTTGCAACAAAAATTCAAAATCCTTTTCCTCATTTTGCTTTACAGAATGGAAAGCATTCTCAATATGGTAAACCAAACTACTATTGTCTACATTGCCCAAGATAAATAATGTGGCAGAGAATGAGGAGTGGCCAGAGATTGCCCAAAAGATTTTCTGTCAATAATTAAAAATGACTCCTTGAGGAATGGTAGATGTATTGATTCAAGCATTTTTAGTGCCTCTCTTCAGCTCTCTCCCACAGCACCTGAAAAAATAACTAAGACAATCTCTATCTTCAGATTTGCAATCTAAAACACATGACACAAAAGCAAAGGAGATTTAGAATGATGCAAAGAGGGGGAAGGCTCTTACTATGGAACATCAAACATATTCTGTGAAGGGTGCTCCTTGAAGAAAACTTCAAAGAAGAAATAAAAGATCTGAGAAGCAATCCCACCAATGATGAGGTCACCTGGCTGGTACCACTGATGTGGAGCAGGGAATGGATAATTCATGGGACACCTAAGTGTATCTACTTTGCACACAGCAGGAGGGAGAAGAGATAACATCAGCAGCCACAGCATCCTTGCGGTCAGACTTTTCTCTAAACACACACCTCCTGTTTCCATTCAGAGCAGCTGCACGACTTGAACAGGCTACATTGGTTAATTCCTATCACTGTCAATACAGCTTTAGAAGAATGGTTTACAACCAGCTTTTGAGAATCAAAGGGTTACAGCTGTGTACCTTATTAGCCAAGATTGCCAACATTGTGATGCTAAATCTGATCAATAGTTTGTGTGTGTGTGTTTGTGTGTGTGTGTGTGTGTGTGTGTGTCTGTGACACATGAGCATTATTCCTGTTTCCTGCTCCCATTAGTATGCGGTTTCTTTATAACCACTTTGAGGTTTGCTTATTGACTGATTTCTTGAGTTCTAGGAAGCCTCGAAAGGTTCAGAGAAGTGAACAAAGTATAGTGATTTGGATAATTGTTGGGTGAGATAGTTACTTTTTCATTGCTTTGGCTGTAAGTAGCAGTTTTGCTAACAAACATGCTGAACTGCCCCCACTTTCCATCATCTGCTCCTTAGGGAGAGAAAAAGTGACAAATACAATTTTCCATGGTGAGCAAACACCAAAAGAAAAGTAAGACTGAAACTTTCGGCTTTGATGACTCCGAGAAGTAGTAGATGATCCTGAAATGAAAGGAGGCTGGTCAACTGCAGTTTTATCAAATAAATGTAAAGCTCCAAGAATGGAGAACCTGTGGGGTTCCAGGTGCTGCTGGAATACAGCTTCCATCATTTCCGACCACAGACCATGTAGGCAGGGGCTGATTCCTAAAGTGTTATTACTCAGACCAGATGTGTGGGAGATTGGCTGCTCTTGATGGGGATGTACTTCTTCTGAAGGAGCAGGTTCGTAGCTTGGTGATATTCCTGGATCCCTTGCTGTCACTTGAGGCCCAGGTGGCCTCAATGGCAAAGAGTGCCTTCCATGAGCTTCGGCTGGTAGCCCAGCTACACCCCTATCTGGACAGGGATCACCCAACTACTGTCGTCTATGCTCTGGTAATCTCAAAATTAGATTACTGCAATGTGTTATAATGTGTTATATGCAGGGTTGCCTCTGAAGATGGTTTGGAAACTTCAACTGGTGCAGAACTCAGCAGCTGGGTTGCTCACTGGAACTAAATGGTTTGAGCGTATTCCACCGATCCTGGTCCAACTGCACTGTCTACTGATATGTTCTGGCCCCAATTCAATTGACCTATGAAGCCTTAAACAACTCAGTACCACAATACCTTAAGGGCATCATAGAATTCTAGAGTTGGGAGAGACCTCAAAAGTCATCTAGAACAAGTCATCTAGTACAATCTCCTTTAATGCAAACTGAGATTGTGGCTGACAGGAAAAAAGGATAACCTTTATCAATGTTATCAAAAACTGTCAAAACTTTATTAACAATAAACTGGAGGGTGTGACATAGAACACTGAACAATAAATTAAACAATGATGTCAAAATAAATGCAAGTGTTTTCATCTAAATATCATTTATTTGTTATATAAAGCAGGTGGTGGAGAACATTTGGCCTTCCAAATTTTGCTAACCTATAACTCCCATCACCCCTATCCACTAGCCATACCTGCTTGGGATAAAGGGAGTTGTAGTTTCTCAGCATCTGGAGGGCCATACCTTTCAATCACTTGGTGTCGCAATGCCAGGCAATGAGTCTATTTGAAGACACATTTCCACACATTTCCATCTGAAGATGGAAACTACAACTAGTGCAGAACTCAGCGGCAAGGTTGATCACCGGAACTAGACGGTTCGACCATATTACACTGATCCTGCTCCAACTGCACTGGCTACCGATTAGTTTCTGGGCCCCATTCAAAGTGACCTATAAAGCCTTAAACAGCTCAGGACCACAATACCTTAAGGACTGCCTCTCCCCATATGAACCTGCCCGGGCCCTGAGATCATCCTCTGAGGCCCTTCTTCATGTGCCTCCTCCTCGAGAGGTCAGGAGGGTGGCAAAACAAGAAGGGGCCTTTTCTGCGGTGGTTCCCCATCTGTGGAATGCTCTCCCCAGGGAAATTCACCTTGCACCTTTACTCTACATCTTTAGGCATCAGGCAAAAACATTCCTCTTCAACCAGGCCTTTGCCTGACCTGACATTCTATACCCTTTTTAAAATGCTGGCTCTTTTCACAGGGGGTGGGGAAGTAAAACTTCTTTCTGTTTTGATGTTATGTAAGTGATTCTTAATGTGAACCACCCTGATACCTTTAGGTATAGGGCGGTATAGAAATAAAATAAATAATAATAATAATATATCTGAATGGGAAATTGACCCAATATACTAGCATCTTCATCATGGGCTGACAAAAAGTTTACTCATTTTCTGTGCAGCGTGTTCCCAATCCAAATGTCCACCCATCTCTCACCGAGCTATTTATAACAATAAAAAAGGTTTCAAGGATTTTGCATTGATGTGTAATGTGCAGTTTGTTCCTCACTTGAAACCCTCAAGATGCCACAAAGCGGTTTCTCTATGTGTGGCATCTATAAATTAATAGAATCAGTTTACAATTGCCCAGAAGGGTTTTCAAGATGTTGTTCTGGCTTATTTGTTGCTCTTGGAGGAAGAGGGGGTATAAATATATATGATGAATGAATAGTAAATCTCTTTAATCTGTAAACTAAATCTGCATCCATCATTTAAAATGTGTATCCTACCTAATTCCCCACAGTGGAAATTAAAATGTGTTTGGCAGTTCAGCTGTGGGAAGGTGGCTGGAGGGGACCTATAGAGGAAACCACAAGTTTGACCACTTTTCCTGTCAACCGACAAACCAATATGACTTGCTATGGATAATATGTTTTGAGGAGGAAACACCCGGTCTCCATTTGTTTGATTTGGACCCCTTTAAAAGCAGGGAATGGAGAAGCTGCCTTCCATTCTTGGGCATCATAGAATTCTAGAGTTGGGAGAGACCTCAAGAGTCATCTAGTACAAGCGCCTTTAATGCACACTGAGATTGTGGCAGACAGGAAAACAGGATAACCTTTATCAATGTTATCAATAACATTTTTTTAAAAAAAGGTTACGCATATTGCCAGCACACCTGGAAATGAATCTCATGAGACATAAACTGTCACTTTATTAACAATAAACTGGAGGTTGTGACATAGAACACTCAACAATAAATTAAACAATAATGTTAAAATAAATGCAAGTGTTTTCAACTAAATATCTTTTATTTGTTATATAAAGCAGGTGGTGGGGAACATTTGGCCCTCCAAATTTTGCTGACCTATAACTCCCATCACCCCTAGCCACTAGCCAGACATGCTTGAGATAAAAGGAGTTGTAGTTTATCAGCATCTGAAGGGCTCCACCTTTCAATCACTTGGTGTCGCAATGCCAGGCGATGAGTCTATCTGAAGGCACATTTCCACAGATGCATCCTCTTGGAGCAGATAGTGTCTTCCACAGCAAAACTGAGTCTTTGCATCCATCTTTCTAGCAGTTGCTGCTTCTTATGGCAAATGCATAATCAGGAATTCACTTTAAGCTCCAGATTGTTCCTCTGAAATAATTGGTACCTGTGATACACTTACTGTCAATTATATAGTCTGATGAGGGGAGATGGGTGTGGATTGTCAGGAATGGTCTGGCAATTGGAATCATTCCTAGATGAAATTTGGCCTACAAGCCAGAGGTCCCCTACACTTGTGCTAGGTTGACATAACATTTAATCCACTTTAATTTCACAAATCTGAACTTTTTAGTACATGCTGGTACTTCTCCCACAAAAGAGTGAGACCAGAGGTAGTTATAGTAACAACTTTATACTAAACTCCTTAATATATAAGAGTACAATAGAATGAAGAACAAAGATGCAATCTTTGGGGAAAATATTTACATCTTTCTCCTCATTAGTTGCTCCCTGCTGTTCAGCTCAGGCTTCAGAACAATGATGTAGAATTTAGGGGCAAAGATGCAGCCCAACAAACCAGCACTGGAGGACAAGATGGAGAAGATCTCCACGACCACCATGTATTTTCCTTTGGTGCTCAGATAGGTTGGAACAAAAGAAAGCCAAACACTGCAGAACCGCAACATGCTGAAGGTAATGAACTTGGCTTCATTGAAACTGTCTGGTAATTTGCGAGCTGCAAATGCCACAATGAAGCTGGCAACGGCCAGGAGGCCCATGTAGCCCAGGACACAATAAAACATGGTCACTGAGCCTTCATTGCACTGCACAATGGTTTCCTTTGTTACTGAGCGCATGTCTAGATCAGGGAATGGGGGAGAGGTCATCAACCACCCAGTACAAATACTCACTTGAATGAGTGAGCCGGAAAGGACAATGCAGTTGCTCAGTCTTTTCCCCACCCACTTCCTCATAGTGGACCCAGGCTTGGTGGCCATGAAAGCTGCAACTACAGTGGTGGTTTTGGCCAACACACAAGAAACAGCCACGGAGAAGATGATGCCAAAAGTGTGTTGTCGAAGAAGGCAGGTCATTTGGCCAGGGTGTCCAATGAAGAGAAAGGATGAGAGGAAGCAGAGTAGGAGGGCAATGAGGAGAGCATAGGTGAGATCCCTGTTGTTGGCTTTGACAATGGGAGTGTCTTTGTGTTTAATAAAAGTTCCCAGCACCAGAATTGTAATTAGGGAACAAAGAACAGCAACTGCTGTTAAGCCAATCCCTAAAGGTTCCTTATAGGAAAGAAAGGTTATTAAATTGGGAATGCATCCATTTTTGTTCTTGTTTGCATACTGATCTTCTGGGCATCTGAAGCAGTTGTCCATATCTGAAAAAATAGCATAAAGTAAACTTCGGTTGCAATTCATGTGTGTTCTTTGCCTCTTACATCTAAGTTATCATTCCTCTTGTCAGAATCGGGGTAATTCTTTCCCTCCCCCGGTGGCCACAAGGAGCAGAGAAAAACAAGAAAGAGTTCTTATTAATGAGTTTGTTAAATCATCACAGCATGAGACAAAGGAATCAGTCTGCCTCCCGATTAATGGTTTTTCTCCAAATGAGCTCCTCCTGCCTCCCTTCCTAGCAACAGCACTTCCCTCTTCCTCTTGCACACTCAATGAACGCTGAGTTCTTGGAGAAGAGGGGCAGAAATGCTCTCCAGTGCTGAAGTGTCAGCTGGCTGCACTGTCTCGCCTGGCTCTTCTCCCAACAGCTCCCAAGTCTTCTGTTCATCTCTCTCTGAGCTGTTACTTTCCTAAACCAACAAGTGTTATTCAATACAGTGGTACCTCGGGTTAAGAACTTAATTCGTTCTGGAGGTCCATTCTTAACCTGAAACTGTTCTTAACTTTAGCTAATGGGGCTTCCTGCTGCTGCTGCGCCACCACTGCACGATTTCTGTTCTCATTCTGAGGCAAAGTTCTTAACTCGAGGTACTATTTCTGGGTTAGTCGAGTCTGTAACCTGAAGCATCTGTAACCTGAAGTGTCTGTAACCTGAGGTACCACTGTACTGCCTTCCTCTCCATTGGAAGCTTCAGGAGAAGGGAGGGCAACCTCCACTATTTCCCTCAATCTTCTTCCCTTTAGTCCAGCCCCTGCACCTGTTTATCTCAATCTTCTGAAATTAAGGAAATTGGTGGTCATGTAATATTATCTGAATTACCTTTTGAGCTGAACATATTGTAGCATTTTGTAAAAACATTTTAATTAATATTCATTTTTGAAAGTTTTTATAAGAAGTTACTGGAAGGCATCAGAAAAAATGTTCATGCCACTCAAAGGAGATATTGGCTACATGCACAACATAGTATGTAAGTTCTTTTAAGTCAATATGACTCACTAATCATTACTAGTCTTGTACGATGAAAAATGTCGTTTACCATTCTGGTTTGAAATCTTCCCTTCTGGACATGGAACACAATCGTAGCAGCAAAATTTCTTCCCTTCCTTCCTTTTCTTCCGATTACCAGGGTGGCAGTAGTCATTGCACACAGAAACAGGCACCACCTGTCAACAGGAAATTATCTTATTTTTTTGGAGAGGGGTTTTTAAATGAACTTTATGAGGGTTTCTAGATAAAAATACAAAACTTAATATCAAATATTTTCCCTCTTTTTTTTGGTCCAAACTAAGACTTTGGCAGAAGTCCAAACAGAAGACACTGATGCTGGGAAAGATGGAGGGGACAAGGAGAAGGGGGCGACAGAGGACGAGATGGTTGGATAGTGTTTTCGAGGTTACCAGCATGAGTTTGACCAAACTGTGGGAGGTAGTGGAGGACAGAGGTGCCTGGCGTGCTCTGGTCCATGGGGTCACGAAGAGTCGGACACGACTAAACGACTAAACAACAACAAGACTTTGATCTGAATACAATAAAAACATAAAGAGATGTGGGAGGAAGAAAGGGATAAAGAAAGAGAAAGAGAGAAACAAAGAAATAGAAAGGAGGTGAAACGAGAGAGAGAAATAAAATTCAGAATGTAAGTGACTTCTGGTTCTTCCTCTGTCTGCTATAAATAAGCAATTTTCACTTTATCCCCTCCAATATAACACCCAGAAAGCCACACAACCATTAGCTTCAGTCCTCAAATCAAACTGTTATTATTTCTTTTTCTTTTTCACGCGAAATGTCTAAGAGAGGTTTCCAGTCTTTAACAAATGTTAAGAATGACTTTTCTCTGAATAAACATGTCAATTTTGCCATCTCAGCTAGGTCCATTAGTTTTAACAGCTATTCCATTGTTAGAATAATGGATCCTTCCATCATTGTCCATATAAACGTTTGCAGCCATAATCCTATATTATAGCAAAGTTCCATAGTCATTTTCTAACTGTATATCCATAACACCCAGGAAGAGTTTTGGCACAGAGAAAATTGCATAGAGAAAAGGCCATGTGTAGGAAATATTTAAAACTTTCATAAGCTCCTAAGCCTGTCATGATAGGGTGAGGTATTCATGATTCAGGAAATTGAAAGACTTCTGCTTCTTGGGAGAAAAGCAATGACAAACCTAGGCAGCATCTTAAAAAGCAGAGACAACACCTTGCCAACAAAGGTCCGTATTGTTAAAGCTATGGTTTTCCCAGTAGTGATGTATGGAAGTGAGAGCTGGACCCTAAGAAGGCTGGTCACCAAAGAATTGATGCTTTTGAATTATGGTGCTGGAAGAGACTCTTGAGAGTCTCATGGACTGTAAGAAGAACTAACCTATCCATTTGTAAGGGAATCAGCCCTGAGTGCTCACTGGAAGGAGAGATCCTGAAGCTGAGGGTCCAATACTTTGGCCACCTCATGAGAAGAGAAGACTCCGTGGAAAAGACCCTGATGTTGGGAAAGATGGAGGGCACAAGGAAAAGGGGACAGAGGACAAGATGTTCGGATAGTATTTTCGAAGCTACCAACATGACCAATCTGCGGGAGGCAGTGGAAAACAGGAGTGCCTGGCATCCTCCGGTCCATGGGGTCACGAAGAGTCAGACACGACTAAACGACTAAACAACCACAATTAATGATTCACACACCCTTTGAGGCCAACACCAACAAGCTAATGACACGAGTTAATGTAAAAGTCATCCTCACAGGTCACAGAGTCTTCGGAAAAGTCTCTGGAACTAGAATTCATCCAACAAGCACTTAGCAGACTGCCTCCACTAGCTGCACCTGCCCATTATTGCTTATACGGTTTCCAATGAAGTTGGAAAATCCCTCCCCCACCCAAACCATCAAGACAATCATAGGAGAGAAAAACCTACTTGGCCTAAACAATGGTGATCACTTTACCTAAAATTGCATATGGCGAAGAAGAAGGATAGGGGGCTGCCGGCAAATGATAGACAATGAAGTCAAACCAATGGAAAGTTACACCACTACCTAGATATTAAAATGTGCCCTTTAAAAGTTCTATGCCCACTTACCATTTAAAATGGATATCACCTATTTTCGCCTCAGTTTTTTTATCTATATAATGTAAGCATTGCCATGTATAAATGTGGCATAGTAAACATTATTAAAATAAAAGATCAGTTTTGTTTGGGAAGTTCATAATTGCATCCAGCTGGTACCAAAATTATTTCCATGCGTTTATGAAAGAAATCAGTGATGGTTATGTTGAGACACCTGAATGACCCATCTGAAGAATGATTACCCCAGATGCCAGACCTGTTTGAAACCTTTGTGCCACATAATCATGTCCTCATTAATGATGAATTATTTTCCATCAAGAGCATAGGGATTCACCGATCCTATTTTCAATTGAATGAAGGACTTATTTGGGAATGCGACCATGTTCATAATGTCAAATCCGCCTCGCATTTCTCTCTTATCAGTAAATGATACTGTTTCTCCAGCTGAGTTGTTAAATGAAATGTGATGCAAAAAATGGTGCAGCTAAGGAAAGAGACGAAATACATGAAAGGAAAATAACACAAAAGAGTTTTTGATAAAATGCCATGATTTTCTGCCACCATTCTTTTGGAATATTATTTACCTATACTTATGTAGCATCATCTAACAAAGACGAAGCATGAATCAGTTGTTTGATATTAAATATTTTTCAGTGAATTAGAGATGCAATAGCATTTCAGCGGCTACTTGTTTCTGGCAATTGTGATCAACCTTTAACTTTTTACTAATCTGTTCATTGAAATTGTCCTATATTTTGCTACTCTTCAATTGCAATGCATTACCTGCCAAGGCTGTAGATCCTGAAATTTTAATATTCCACTGCTTCCCATAGCTCTTTTCTTGAAACTAGTCAAGTATATGCCTTGCAAAACATGAGCCACAACATAAACAGCCTTGTAGATGCTGTAGCTGTGGCCAGTCATGCTCAGTTCAAATAGAGTCCCTGGAAGACTCTGCAAGCTCTCTTCCCCAGTACACATGTCATTGACCTCTGTTGGCACACTGGGATTTGGAAATGTACAATCAAATGCTTGCTCCCAGAAGTCCTTGAAAAAGCCATCTCCCTGTGTCCAGTAAAGTTTTATTCCCTGAAGAAATCGTTGGAACTGTGGGAGATTTTGTGAATGAATTGTGAAGGAAATAGCACCTTGGAAGATCTGAAGGCCCCAACTCCTTTGAAAACCTGTTAATATGAAATCAATCTGAGTTGTTACAATCCACACTTTTTTAAATGATGAGATTTCCCTATTTTCAGGATCTCTTAGAAATATAATACTTCTGAGCCATATAATTATCATAGATTCTCCATACATCATAAAAACATTGGCTTTGTCATCTGTTAAATGAACATAAATATTTAAGACTATATAATGAAATTCATCCCAGTTATCAAAACGGGCTGTTTGTTTGATTCTTTGTGTGAAGGCTAAACAGATTCCATTATGGGAAAGTGATGGCTCCAGGGTCTGCAAGAAATGTTCTCCACTATTATCATCGACAGTGAAGAGCCCGACCCAGGTCCATCCAAAATGCTTAAGCAAACTGATAATCCCCATATACTGATGGGCTTCATTGGGCACCATGCAGTAAAATGAAGGTACTTGGCTTCCATAATTTTTGTCTGGGGGAAATGATCCATATGTGAGCTAAAAGAAAATGTACGTACGTATTGGTTAGCAGCAGATTCCTGTTTATTCAAGAAACACTTGTTTAAGCAATTTATGAATTAATTCCAAGTATGTATGTATCTATTTGTTTAATTTGTATATTGCCCTTCATCTAAATATCTCGGGGTGTTCTCAGAGTAAAAATGTCAAATAAAAACACATCATATAAACAAGAACAAGAACAAAACAAAACAATGACCTCCCTGCCACAAGGTTTTTGTAACTGAAAGGAAAAGGTGGAATTGAAAATACGAATGAATGAAGAAAGACAGATAACTAGAGTAGACGAGGAAGGGATATTAGCGGAGAAGGAAGGGGAAAGTGCCAGGGATGATATTGAAGAAGCAGCAAGGACTTTGAAAGAATTGAGGTAGAAGGTGCATGTGACAGAAGGATGTTAGAAGGCTGTGAGAAGGTTTGTTCAAGGAGCAAGCATGTTGGGGGTGGCTTGACTGTGTCCTCCTTATGGCCAACATGAAGATGAGAATGGATTTGTTAGAAATGGAATGCTAGGGAAATGGCTCTTGCAGAGGGATGCTCAGAGATGTACTAGGCCAGCTTTAAACCAGATGGGGAAGAGTTGCAGAGAGCTCAGCTCAGCTTAACACACTGTGGTTTGTAACTACTACTACTACTACTACTACTACTACTTCAGATTTAAATGTCAGTCATAAACCCTTCCTCTTTCAAAAGTTCATAATGACTCCCAGAAAGATAAGGCAAGAGTTTATTTTGAGATACCCTTTCATAGATCCTACCTGTGGAATCTTGTAGAGGCCTAATGTGTCAGCCATATGGAAGGAGGTGTCAGCACTAAGTCCCCCAATGATGGCTATGAGATTTTTCTGGGTGTCACATTTGTAGTTGGGAACAAATCTATGTGATTTGAAGAGCAGGTCAAGAGTGGTACGATAGGTCATTCTGGCATCATAGTAGCTATCATAGATGTGGAAGCCGAGAGTGATATTAGGACAAAACTTGGGGTTCTCGTTTATCTCTTTCACGGCAAATGCCAAGGCAAGAATGTGCTGGTAGAATTTTGTTACCACACTGCAAGCAAAGTTCATTAATGTACAACTTTGGAATAGGAAATCAACATGCCACAAAGCCTTTTTTTAGCTCAAATTGATTTAGATTGACATGAAATTATTTTAATTTTCATTGATGTTTCTAAGCTAATTAACTCAGTTCACTTCATATAAAAATTATGCTCTCTCAGGGCATGCCTAAGATTTGAATCACCAGCTATTAATCCTTTTCTTTACCTTCTCATTTCTCTTGGTTCCCCAGTCAGAATCTTGGGAGACACTCTACTATACTCCTGAAAGCTGTCGATTGTTACATATTTAAAAATCTTTTTATTTATTTCTCTAAAGGGGAGGAATTTTTTATTTAGGCAAAATGAAGGACATTCCTTTATAAAGTAAATCAGGACCACCAATTCCAGGGGCTTGTCCAAAAGATTTTCTGTCAATAATTAAAAATGATTCCTTGAGGAATGTTAGATATATTGATTCAAGCATTTTTAATGCCTCTCTTCAGCTACACATCTCCCAGAGCACCTGAAAAAATATCTAAGACAATCTCTTTCTTCAGGTTTGCAATATAAAAAAAACATGACACAAAAGCAAAGGAGATTGGGAAAGATGCAAAGAGGGGGAAGGCTCTTACTATGGAACATCAAACATATTCTGTGAAGGTTGCTCCTTGAAGAAAACTTCATAGAAGACATAAAAGATCTGAGAAGCAATCCCACCGATGATGAAGCCACCTGGTTGGTACCACTGATGTGGAGCAGGGAATGGATAATTCATGGGACACCTAAGAGTATCTACTTTGCACACAGCAGGAGGGAGAAGAGACAACATCAACAGCCACAGCATCCTAATGGTCAGACTTTTCTCTAAACACACACCTCCTGTTTCCATTCAGAGCAGCTGCATGACTTGAACAGGCTACATTGAGTAATTCCTAGCTCTTTCAATACAGCTTTAGAACAATGGTTTACAACCAGCATTTGAGAATCAAAGGGTTACAGCTATATACCCTATTAGCGGAGATTGCCAACACTGCAATATTATATATATATATAGAGAGAGAGAGAGAGAGAGAGAGAGAGAGAGACGACACGTGAGCATTGAAGCCGACAGAACCTTTACTGCCTCTTATTCCAATTTCCTACTCCCAATAGCACAGGGTTTCTTTATAACCACTTTGAGGCTTGCTTATTAAGAAAGCCTGGAAAGATTCAGAGAGGTGAACAAAGTATAGTGATTTGGATAATTGCTGTGTGAGATAATTACGTTCTCATTGCATTGGCTGTAAGTAGCAGTTTTGCTAACAAACATGCTGAGCTGCCCCCACTTTGAACCACCTGCTCCGTAGGGGCAGAAAAAGTGACAATACAATTTTCCATGGTGAGCAAACACCAAAGGAAAACTGAGAGTGAAACTTTTGGCTTTGATGAAAAGAGGCTGGTCGACTGCAGTTTTTTCACAGAAATGTAAAGCTACAATTTCTTTTTGCCAAGAATGGAGAGCCCGTGGGGTTCCAGGTGCTGCCGGGATACAGCTTCCATCATTTCCCACCACTGACCACATAGGCAGGGGCTAATATGGTGCAGGACAAAGTTTCCTTATCTCTCCTCTAAGAAATAAATCTCAGAGAGAGAGTAAATGAGTGGCAATAATAAATATTAATCTTAAGGAATGCCATCAGTCATGTTCAGAAAGAGTATCTATTCATATTATTATTATTATTATTATTATTATTATTATTATTATTATTTGTTTGATTTTTAAACTATTCTAGTGTGTCATATTCTTTTTTGTAATTTGGACCCCTTTAAAAGCAGGGAATGGAGAAGCTGCCTTCCATTCTTGGGCATCATTGAATTCTAGAGTTGGGAGAGACCTGAAGAGTCATATAGTACAAGCTCCTTTAATGCAAACTGAGATTGTGGCTGACAGGAAAACAGGATAACCTTTATCGATGTTATCAATAACATTCTTTTATTAAAAAGTTACGCATATTGCCAGCACACCTGGAAATGAGTCTCATGAGACATAAACTGTCACAACTTTATTAACGATAAACTTGAGGGTGCGACACAGAACACTGAACATATTACACTGGAAATTTGCAGAATCCATCATGGAGCCCAGGCTTTGTCATTTGTTTTGGTTTTAGATCATTTTTATCAGTTTCCAATAAAACAGCCAATTAACATATCCATAATCATAATCCAATTAAAAATAAACTCAGATAAAAAAACAACAACCAAATTGCAGTCCAAATTATTAATTTTTCCGGGTTTCCCATAGTCTGGACCTCTGAAGTATATCTCCAATATCTTCATGCCTGCCTTCTTCTTGTTGTTCTTATATTTTCCACATTCCAATCTTATTGCTTTAAGGTCCCCCATCCCTGGCTGTGCAATTCTCAGTCATGTCAGAAATCATATATCCTTTCATCCATCAAATACAGCTTTATTTGTATATGTATATATATATCTATATATCTATATCTATCTATCTATCTATCTATCTATCTATCTATCTATCTATTCAACTCTCTATTTCCCAGTGCAGCTTTTCCTGTCTTTATTCCAATATTCCAATCCGGGCTGTTGTCCAAGTCTATCATTTGAAGTTTAATGACACAGCAACTCCCAAGTAGTTAATTCATTCCAATCTGATCTGTTATCCAAGCCTGTCGTATGAAATTTCCGTGTTGTTATATTGTTGCTATACACAATGATTTCCCATTGTTAAATTGTTAAGCGTACTGTTTGCAATATTGCAATGTAAATGAACTGTATTCTACATAATAAGTTATTTGGTGATCGATCAGCCTTCCCGGAAACCACACAATCCCACCCCCCCACCCCTGTGCCTAGAAGCGGGGTTGCTAGACATCCATTTAGCTTTCTCTCTCGCTCATAATGAATAAATTCTGCAAACAGATGCACTGTCTGTTATTCCAAAATGTTGTCTCAAGTCATTATAAAGTCAGTTAGCAGGTATTTCCCACTTCCCTCAAAAAAGGGAGGAATTCTCATTTTTCCATGCTGCGTCATATTAACAAGTGCCATCTTGTTTCTTCTTTTATCTTTTTCAAGTCTGAGTAAAGCTGCGCAATTGAGTACTTAATTATAAATAGAAGTCCATCTGTACTTTAAAAAAAAAAGGTTTCTTGATGAGGCCTGGCATAGAAAAACAAATGTAGATATTAAGAAGAGAAAAAAGGACATACCAATCACCTCCGTAATCCAAACACCATGATGAAAATCTCTTTTGAAGTCTGAGCTTATACACCAGGGAATGTGCCGTTTTCTGGTTTTTTCTCAGTCTTCTTCAGTCCAGACTATGTCTGTTTATTGTCCAAATCTAATTATTTTATCAAACAGATATTTCCGGCTTATGAGAGTGACTTCGGAGAGTGCCAGCTGATTTGTGCTCTGGGACATAGCGTCCTGCCACTTGCACTTTGATGCAAGCTGACAATCTTGGACAATCTGCAGGTCTACGAGACAGTCCTCCCCCACCCTGGGGAGTCTGCCAGGGCTAATTACCCCCATATCAACCCTGAATTACCGGCACGGCTGGGGTCCGATTGTGTGGGAGTCAGCCATTTCTCACCGCCAGAAACAGGAAGCCAGGCTTTGTGGTTTTTACCTAGCAGTTCATAAGCTGGCTGAGAGGGAATGGGAACAGCAAAAGAAATGATGGAAAGCCCAGAGTCCCCTCCAGACTGTTGCTATTTTGAAGGAGGGAATAAATTCCATACTGGCAAATTTAGCTTTTTGAAATTAAAGTGAATTAAAGTGCTCTTGTGCAACAAGCAAACTTTTAAAAAATGGAATAAGGAGTGGGGGGGTGGATACATTCAAACGCGTGGAATAATAATTGCTAGTCATAATTGCTGGTAAATCATAAAATCTCTCTCCAACCAAATAAGGGTGAATGCTCAATAAACAAAGGGAATTATATAACCTCTCCACAAGCTTTGTGAAGAACGAATTCTCAATAACCACTTTGCTTGAAGGCACCCAAAGTAGACCATTTAAATAAATTTTACTGATTAATATTAATCTATTTTCTCCTAAATTCAGTGTTATTTTTCTAGAAAATAGGTGCTGGAACACATCATAAATGCTTCTGTTGTTTCCTTACAATGGCAATGGCACCCACCAGGGAGGTGCCCAAACTGAGTTCTGGCAAGTTCTGGCTGGACAACCAACCAAAAGCCCTTCCCAAAATCAGTACCCTTCATATAAAACAACACAAACAATACAAAAGGTGGGAGAATCAAGAGTTCCTTTAATTCTTTCTTCTCCTTAGTTGTTCTCTGCTGTTCAGTTCAGGCTTCAGAACAATGATATAGCATTTAGGGGCAAAGATGCAGCCCAATAACCCAGCACTGGAGACCAAGATGGAGAAGATCTCCACAGCCACCATGTATTTCCCTTTTGTGCTCAGAAAAGTTGGGATAAAGGACAACCAAACACTGCAAAATAGCAACATGCTGAAAGTAATAAACTTGGCTTCATTAAAGCTATCAGGTAGCCTGCGGGCTATAAAGGCCACAATGAAGCTGGTAAAAGCCAGGAGACCCATGTATCCAAGGCCACAATAAAACATAGCAATGGACCCCTCATTACATTGCAGAATGATTTCTTCAGTTACTGAGTGCATGTCTAAATCAGGGAATGGTTGAGAGGTTGATAACCACACAATACAAATACTTACTTGGATAACACAACAGAAAAGGACAATGGAATGAGACAGTCTTTTCCCTACCCACTTCCTCATACTGGAACCTGGTTCGGTGGCCATGAAAGCTACAACCACAGTGTTGGTTTTGGCCAACACACAAGAAATGGCCACTGAGAAGATGATGCCAAAAGTTGGTTGTCGGAGGAGGCAAGTCACTTTGCCAGGTTGGCCAAAGAATAGGAAAGAAGAGAGAAAGCAGAGTAGGAGGGAGACAAGGAGAGTGTACGTGAGGTCCCGGTTGTTTGCTTTGACAATGGGGGTGTTTCTATGCTTAATGAATATTGCTAGCACAAAAGTTGTGACTAGAGAAAAAGAAATAGCAATTGAGGCTAAGCTGATCCCTAATGGTTCTTCATAAGAAAGAAAGTTCAGAGTTTTGGCAACACATCTGTTTTTGTTCTTGTTTGGATACTGATCTTCTGGGCACATGAAACAGTCGTCCATATCTGAAAGGGGGGAAAAATAGAACAAGTTCACATTCCAGTGGCAATTTATTTAAGATTCATGGTGAATTTCTCTGCCTCTCACATGGTAGCTACTGCTCCTATTAATTTGAATCCATTTGTTCAAGGGTTAGCGTATTGGAATAGAATGTATCTATTATAGTGATGTACAGCATGTAAGAGTTGTATTAACAAATGGAATACTGGGAGTGACGGGAAGCTGCGTAACATCCTTTTTGGTGCATTCTGGCACTCCAACCATGAAATTAGCCAAAAATCAATTTCTCAAAAGGTGATGAATAACTTCATTGCCTAACAGACATTTATTCTTTCGTTATGTTCATAACATACCACTCTGGTTTGAAATCTTCCCTTCTGGGCATGGGACACAATCATAGCAGCAAAATTTCCCCTCTTCCTTCCTTTTCTTCTGATTGCCAGGGTGACAGTAGTCATTGCACACAGAAATAGGCACCACCTGTCCACAAACAGAGAAGATGTTTTAAAATAATAATATAAAAAGTTCTGCTGTTCAAACAAAGAAATTACGTAAATACTCAGTAATGCACCCTAAATGGCCTCGGCCCAGTATAC